CCCGGAGGGGGGCTGAACGATACACCATCTCTCTTTTCACCGACGCCCTTCACGATAGCCCCAAGAGGCCCACTCCCAGCAGGCCCCCAAGAGAGCCCCAAGAGGGCCCCAAACCGCTCCAAAAGACCCCAAATATTACCCCATCGTCGTGGTCATCGTCGTCGTCGTCTTCATCCTCCTCTTCCTCCTATTCTTCATTCTCCTTCTCCTCCTCCTCCTCCTCCATCTCATCCTCCTTCTCCTCATCCTCCTCCTCCTCTTTCCCTCGCCCCCACGCGGGCCCCAGGGATGGCCCGAAAAGGCCCTCAAAGGCCATACCCTTGCTCCCATAGATCTCTCTGTTAACCCTGGTTGCCTGCTTTGTTTCACTACACGTGTCTCTTCGTCCTCTGTTCCGTCAACTCGCGTGGCGTGGAAAAGCGAAACGAAGAATTCGTTCTTTCTCACGGAAGCCATAGATGTCTAGATGGCATCTGCGGTGACCCAGATAAGTCTCAGGAGCCTCCCCATAATGGAAACTAAGTATGTGTCTGCGATCGTATTGACAGATTGGGGCTCCGCCACTAACGGACAATAAATTATATTTATCCGCGACACCCGCCACGCAACAACGACGAGGACGACGAGATGAAGGAGGAGATTGTGAGCAGCGCCCTAGGCGAAGAACGTGTCGATCTATATTACGATCCTCCTACAAACGTGCTAAACAATTCCTTTGTCGCGCAGGGTAGCCCAGGGAGCATGATTCCCTGGGAGAGAGAAACCTCCAACTCCAACCCCAACATTATCCAGCCCGCCCAACGCTAGACGTTAATTAGTCTCCGCCGCGAGGACGATGACGACGATTACGACTACGACTACGATTACGATAACGCTTACCACTACCACCACAATTGCGACTACGACAAATATTAACACTACAAGCACGATTACAATCACGATGGGACAGCCACGACTACAATCACGAATATAACCACAGCCACTGATTCTTAATGCAATCCCATTGAGAAAACGCTCGCACATTCTCTCACGTGTAGGGTAGCCCACAAGTCGTAATTCCACGGGAGAAACAAAAACCGACATTAAGCAGCCCGCCCAACAATGCAGGGACAATACTCTCCGCTACGACGACGACGAGAACGACGACGACTACAATAACGACCACGAGGAGGAGGAGGAGGAGGAGGAGGAGGAGGAGGAGGAGGAGGTCGAGGGGAAGGAGGAGCTGGATGAGGAGGGGGGAGAAGGAGGAAGAGGAGGAAGCGGCTGAGTTGTTTCACCGCCGAGAGCAACACGGGGAGACCAACACGCAAGACCTCCTGAAATTACTTGACCCGTCTTTCACCGAACGTAGGGCAACGGGGCCAGACGGGACCGGAAAGCACTGAGAGAACTCGTGGGACATCTTGGTGCAGAGACTCTTGGAGAGACTCGTGGAGAAACAAGGCCCACAACTATGCTGCGCCGTGTTCGAAGCAGGCGAACTGATGCCCAGGCCTGGAGGGGGATGGTGGGGAGCGAGAAGCCTAGATGAGGGAGTCTGGGCAGAGGGGGAGGGTGGCGGAGGACGAGGACGACGAGGGGCAGGTAGGAGGAGGGGAGAGGAGGAGAAGGAGGAGGAGGAGGAGGATTAGGACGAGGACGAGGAGGAGAAGGAGTAGGAAGAGGAGGAAGAGGGAGAGGAGGATGAGGAACGCAATCAACAGCCCCGTCGCTGATGTTTGCCGAACGCAGAAGGAGGAGGACGATCACCACCACGACGACGACGACAACAACGACGACATCCCCCTGGACGCCGAGCGCGGCCGGGAGTCAGGCGCCCTCTCTAGAAGCCACGGCGCCTCGCGGTCTCTCTTGCCTGCAGCGGCGGCGGCGGGGAGCGTCACCCGACTGCTCCCGAGAGGCCAATATGTTGAATCCCATGTAAAAAACAATACGCGGAGAGGAGAGGGGACATCTTCTGGACATACGCGAGGGTGAGAGGAGAGTAGTATGCATATCAAGCAGGTGCGCTCGCCCCCTATCTGACATTCTTCCCCTCCCATCCATCCCTTCACATTTGCGCCGATTTCTTCTCTATCCGCCGATGGGTGTCGTAGCGGACCTGGAACTCCCCGCAGGATCCGTATCGTGTTCTGCGCAATGTGATTATGGAAGCTGTGTACATTAGAAGCGAAGGTGGCAAATGAGCAGGACGATGAGCGGGAGAAAGAAGAAGAGGATGAGGCGGAAGGAGAAAGAGGAAGAACTGCAACAACAGGAGCAGAAGGAGCGGGAGGAACACAAGGAGCAGAGGATCGCGAGGGAAGGGGAAAGGAAGAGAGCGACAACGAGGAGGAAGCATTCGGATGCAGAACTGTTGCCAGCGCGGGGGCGAGAGCGCTGTTCTGAACGAAGGGAGCAAATCGCGGATCCTGACATGAGGCCAACTACGCAGCGAGACCACCATCTGCAAGCATCGACAACGTTCCGATTGCAACACAAAAACATGCAATACCAACTTTTGGAATCCTGTGCAACAACAAACAGTACCCGGAGGGAGCGGGACATCTCCTGGGCAGAGTCAAGGGCAGAAGGAGAGTAGCGTAAAAATGCGCGGAGGGGGCAAGACATCTTCAAGGCATTGTTGTTACATTATTTCTGGAAGCGGTCGTTAACCCCGTCGGGTGGGGGGGCTGGGGTGGCCCCCCTGGTAACGGTAACTCTTAGGCGGGTGGGGCGCGCCGGGGCGGAAGCGCGCTGCGATCGCCACAATACGCGCGCGAGCACCAACATGCGGCCGCTACTCGGGGGGCGGGTCTGGCCCGTGTCACGGCCGTGACGCGCCAGAAAATGAGAACAACAAAACAATCGGCAATGCGAAAGAGTGATCCTGGGTAAGAGTGACCTTTGGTGCGCGGCATTAGGGGGGCGCGGGGCAGCCAAACCCAAGCACGCAAGCCGCTGATGTCGCAGCGCGTTCGGCGATTGGGGGACCCATTTGAGCCCGCACCAAAGGTCGCTCCAGCGAAAGGTCACTCTTACGTCTAGCCGAAAGAACAGTTCATGGACATACTCGGGGCGAGAGGAGAGTGGCATTCACATTGCTTGCATCGCTCGGACGTCCATTCCCCGTGCATTGTTCGATGTCCCTGGTGTATTTTACGCAAGAGAATCCAGGATGTGCCTCGATGACCCTCGCCCCCGAATCATGCACACGTCTGAGCGATGAGACTGAGCAGCTGTGGGCGAGGAGGGTACGGGGGTGGGTGGGGCGTCCGCGAGAGCACGGAGGGAGAGGCGAGGGAAGGTGGCAGGACTCTCGTAACACCTCCATGTGTAATCCAGGCAGACACAAGTAAGATGTAGAACCCGACGGACACCCCATGGAAAACATCGCTCTGGCCACCACAAAGAACGCCGTGGAACCCTCATTGGTCGTTGGTCGCGAATGGTCGCTCGCATATGGTCGTGGTTACATGCTCCACCGAAGGCCAGAATCGGTGTGTTCGCATGCGTCTCCCCCACCCAGGACAGCGTTTCGTGGCCCCATACGCCATACGGAGCTCCACCGAAGGCCCCACTGGAGGGGTTCGCATGCGTCTCCCCCGCCCAGGACAGCGTTTCGTGGTCTCATTGTGAGCTTCACCGAAGGCCTCAGCAGGGGTGCTCGCATGCGTCTCCCCCGGGTGGGTCGCGAATGGTCGTGGTTACATGCCACCAGAGCTCGCTCGCAGATGGTCGTTGGGCGCGAATTGCTCGGGGTGCGACAAATTGGGGGGGAGAAGGGTGCCCTCCTCGGGCCCCAAAGGCCGCCCTCTGGGCCCGAAAGTGCCCCTTTAGGGGCCCCAGAGGGTCCCTTTTCGGCAGCCCTCGCCGCTCCCCCGTTTAACGGGCGAAGAACGGTATAGAATAAACTTTTTCGCCGTCGGGGACACCTGCCCCCGGGCGGCTGGAAAGTTTATACCCCTACGGTGGCACCGTAAGGGTATAAACTTTCCAGCCGCCCTGGGGCAGGTGACCCCGACGGCGAAAAAGTTTATTCTATACCGTTCTTCGCCCGTTAACCCGTGGCATCGCCCTCCCATTACGCGCCCCCCAGAAGTCGCAGAGGAGATCGGGTCGCCGGGTGCGCCGCGCGCCTGGGCCGCGCCGGTGCTCAGCGCCGGCGCCCCCGGCCCACAGGAGAGCACCTGCTCGAGGAGCGGCGGCGGGCGGCGGGCGGGCGCGGGTGCAGAAGATCTCGTCGACACTGCCGTCGTCGCCGTCGTCGTCGTCGTCGTCGTCGTCGTCGTCGTCGTCGTCCGTCGTCGTCGTCGTCGTCGTCGTCGTCGTCGTCGTCGTCGTTAACGTCGTCGTCCGTCGTTCGTCGTTGACGTCGTCGTCGTCATCGTCGTCGCCGTCACCGCCGTTATCCTCGCCCTCCTCCAGATGGGCTGGGGCTGTGCAGATGGGCGGAGAATGACGGGGGAGGGGGAGGAGGAGGGAATACGATGAGGAGGTAGAGGAGGACAAGCGAGGATGAGGAGGAATGACTAGAGAGGGAGGGCGGAGGAGGCAGGAGGAGGGGAGGGAAGAGAAGGAAAGAGGAGAAAGGGAGGAAGGAGGGAGGAGGGAGAAAAAGGCAGAATGAGTGGAGGAATTCAACACAGGGACTCGGTGCGAGGCCGTCCACGCGGCTCAGGTACCGGACAACCAACATCAACGACAAAAGTGCGAAACCAACACCGTCAACCCTGGCAGGCTTTGGCCCCATTCAAAATCTGATACGTGTAATGGACACCTACACTCGCAACCCTGAACACGAGAAAAAAAAACGTCGCCGAGGCTATCCGCGCGTAACACTGCACACTCCCGCCACCGAAAAAGTGGCACGCCTTCACACCTGCGGCAGCAAGTCAACTCGCAGAGCCTTCCTGTGAGGTCCCACGATGTACATCGAGGAGGAGGGAGGGATAGGAGGAGAAGAGAGGGGGACGGAGGAGGAGGGACTAGGAGGGGGGAGACGGGGAGGGAGGGTGAGAGGCAGGAGGCGGGAGGACGAGGAGGGGGAGGGTGCAATTCACAGCGCAGAGCCTACCTCCCTGTGCATCATTACGACAGATCGCCCACCGAGGCCCAGTGTGTTAGACATTTCAAGATGTGGTTTCAAAGAGCCGTGTGCATATTTTCCATAACTCATGTAAGTCCGCGTTCCCTGGCGTAGCAGGTTCCCTTTTTTGGCCTCCCGAATTGCAGCCTAGCCGAACTAATCGTCTCTCCGTTCTTTTCCCAGAAAAAAAGACCCGAAGAGGTCTATCCCAAGAAGGCCCGAAAAAAGGCCTATCATGTTTCAGCAGAGTGGTCCTTGCCAAACCCATTATGTCCCAAGCATTTGCAGCAACTCAGCGTAGCTGGACTTTCAGACGTGCGGTCGAGAACCGAAGGACGACTACTGTACCCGCTGCCCAGAAACAGTTCTGTCCATCGTCTCGAGCGCGATCAGCATCGCGCATATCTTACCACTGCCATAGCATTGTTAACTGGAGATTCAAATAGAGATAGAGACAACGAGCACTACACCAGTCAGGAGATCGAGGATATCAGTACTCAGTGCTATCGGCAGTGGTCTAAGCGGGACCATTGCATGGTAGCGGAGCTTTCGAGCTCCACGGACGGTCATCATGGCGAAGAACTTTGATGACGTGATTCCCAGATGGAACGGGGACATCACTACGGTGGACGACTACGAGAGAGACGTCACGGCCTACATTCGTGGGACGAGCCGGGACGAGCGCTACGTATTCGGATCGAGGCTCTGGCGGAAGCTGGAGGGCCGCGCTCGTCAAGCTGCCAAGACATCGACTGGGGCAAGTTCGAGTCGGACAACGGCGCAGATTTCCTGCTGAGACACATCAGGTCGAAGCTCGGAGCCCAATCGATTCAGGACGCAGGGAAGCACATGGCAAGATGGATCTTCGACCTGCGCAGGGACAACGGTGAGCCGATGGCGAACAACATCAGCAGGGACGACGAGGCGTACCACGACGTGGTCAAGGGTTTCGACAGCGAGTATTTCAAGAGCCAGAGGATGGAGCGGCGGCCAGTAAGGTCGAAGGAGTGGACTTCTCTCTCAGCCAGGAGTTGAACTGGTTCCTCAATAAGATAGTGTACGAGGGCCCGGACGACGCCGCAGATGAGTCCAGGAGACTTGACAACTGGCTGTGGAACTTCACCAAGACAGGCCTCGAGGAGGTACCTGAACATCCTGACTTTGGCACGAACTTCCAGCAGACGGCCCCCTTGGATCAACTACGCGGCTGGCTGCTTCTACAGCGCTCGCGGCTGACGCCGACCGAGCGCGCAGCGGTCATCAGCGCCGTCAGGAGGAACTTCGACCACGAGAGCATCGGCGAGCAGCTGCGCACATCGTGGCCAGACGACGAGCCGACGAACCGTGACAGGAAAGGGAAGGAGCACCAAGGCCGCCACCGAGACCGCGGACGCGTTCACGCTGGATGGGGACAAGACGAAGAAGAACCAGACGCTGAAGAGCAGATCTACTACGAGCAGTCCGAGACGTCGGTCAGCACCGAGTACGAGGACGACTACAAACCGGAGGAACCGCTCTACAACGCAGAGGAGATCGAGCAGGCAGAGCAGGCCTTCGCCGCTCAGCAACACAGTTTGAAGGAGCTCGAGATCTACTTCGACGTGCGAAGACAACCAGGAAATTCCACCCCGTGGATGAGGAAAAGAAGAAAAGTCACCGCGACAAGCCTTCAAGGGGACGGACATCTACTTCGAAGAGCCCGAGGTCTAATATCAAGCCGTTCGACAAGGATAAGCAAGCTTCATCGAGAGACCCGAAGGCGAGGACGAGTCGCAGAGGACCCTGCCTGAAGTGCGGCGGCAATCACGAGACGAAGGATCACAAGCCGAGGAGCCAGTCTGCCGACCGCGATCGTGGACCGGAGGAGGGCTTCTCCTCGTTCGTGTTCTACAACAGCCAGCGCGACGCCGAGATGGAGGTGACGACAATCAAGCGCGACCGGTCGTTGCGCGAGCTAGAGGACACGCTGAGAAAGCCAGAGGTTCCGAAGCGCCACGACGAGAAGCTCCCGATTCTGGCCGCACTGGAGGAGACGAACGACTGGATGCTGATGAGCGTGCTGGAGAGTGCCTACCAGGGCTTCGGCATTCTGGACATTGGCGCCACCTCCCCCATAATCGGGATCCAGGCTGCCGAGAAGCTGCGCGACCTGATCTACGACGCGACGGGCAAGAACATCCAGATGGACACCTCACAGAAGACGACGTTCATCTTCGGCGACGGCAACTAGAATACCTGCACTGGCATGGCCACGCTCCCGTTGAACACCGCTGGTGTGGATGGCGATCTAGAGATTAACATCGTGGACGCCGACTTTCTGTTGCTGATCGGCGTGGACGTGCTACGGCGGCTCGGAGCAGTGACCGACTGCGAGAAGAACTAGATCTATTTCAAGAAGCTCGGTCGCCGAGCTAAGCTACTCTCCCTTCCCAGCGGCCACTTTGCACTGCCTCTCGTGGCCGAAGCTGACTTCGGCTTCGACCCTCGAATTGGAGGTCGCGCCCTCAACACCGATCGCTGCGCTGGTGCTGGAGGGTGAAACAGACAAAGAGCAGCCACAAGAACGCGAATCCACGGGAGATCCCATACATGTGAGCCCAAAGGCCAGGGAAGCCTAAGATCATGCCCCAGACGGTCCGAAGACAAGTCCACCTAAGACCGCGGCATCGGGTACGTCTTGGAAACCTCCATCAACATCGTTAACGGGATCATCAAAATCTCCAACAAGCTTGGGAAGATCAAACGGCGACTCTCGGAAAATTCGGGAACGGAAACTTCGAGTACGTCAGAAACGGCGTCTCCGAAACCGATTTCGGCAACTCCCCGGAGTCTGATTACGGAAACCACTAAAACTTCGTTTACAATAACATCTCTACCGGGCCCCCAAGAAGCTGAGACACCTCCTCGCGAGCTCCCAGAGATCCCAAGATTTCCTGGAATCTCTGAAAGCTCAGATGCTCCTCCGTCCATAGCCGTTTTGGCAAGAGCAGAATCTTCGAGCCGAGCGCTCAGCGATTCTCATCAACTGCCACGCCCGCATGAGCCTCGACCGCGAGGCGAAATCTCGCAAAGCAGAGACCCAGGAGGTCAGGGTCAAGGACGAGGAGATGAACGAGTGGGAAGCTCTACCTGTCGACCCATCCAGCATACCAGTGGGCAACAGATCGCAGCGGGCGCCCTCAACAACCTAGGGGCGTACGCGACTACTGCCTGCCAGACGGCTCCCGGGGAAGTTTGTTCGCCACACTGGAGTGGACGAACTACTTGATACTCGAGATCGAGGAGAACGTGACGAGGGACTCGGAGCTGTTCCTGGACAAGCACTTGCCGCACTGGGAGATGCGGGCGATGAAGCTACATCAAGCCTGGACCTGCACGACGAGATGGAGCAAGGTAGTATGCAAGATCTTCCTGAATACCATCGAGAAGCAGAAATGGAAGCTGGACTGACTGGGACTTCCCGTGCCGCTCTTCCCTACGAAGTTCCCGGCCTGGAAGCCAGACGAGAAACCCAGCGTCAAGCAGGATGAGATTCCAGCTCCCCAGGAGACCAAGAGCAAGACCGCGGCAGTCTCCCAGCAGAACAAGGAGTTTCGCGAAAGCATCGAGATCGCAAGGTCCGGTTTTTTCACGAAGTACCAAGACGTGAATGCCTTTGCGGGCGCCGACGCGGAGGAGATCGACAGGCTGCTCAGCATGATGACGGTCGCTAACCACCTCAAGCCTCTTCGCAAGCTCTACGAGCTGACCCAGAGTGGCAAGAAGGAGGATATTTGCGACCGACTGGTACGCTACATCCTGCAACAGCTGGACGACGCCAAGCCGACGGTCAAGGTCAAGAAGGAGCAGCAGACGACGGTCAAGAAGCAGGAGATCAAGCCCTTCATTCCAAGCGGCACGACCAATAGCCACTTCGCACAGGGCTGCATGGCTCCGAAGTGTCGCGCGCAGCGATGGATATCCAAGAACGAGCCCATCATGAATGTCAATCCCTACGGCTGCTGCCACAAGATGCGCGCGGAGAAGATCGCGAATGCGGAGTAGATGAAGTTCGGGGGGAGCGAGTCCGTTGGAGTCGAGATGACTGCCGACTTCTCAGAG